CCAAAGCAGATATACAGATGGCCAATAGGCACATGAAAGATACTGAGTAATATTCCATTGTACATATATATGTATGCCACATCTTCTTTATTCACTCATCAGTCAATAGAATATTACTCAGTTATAAAAAAATGAAATCTTGCCATTTGCAACAACATGGATGAAGCTAGAGTGTATTATGCTAAGCAAAATAAGTCAGTCAGAGAAAGACAAATACCATATGATTTCAGTCATATGTGGAATTTAATAAACAAAACAGATGAACATAGGGAAAATTAAAAAGAGGCAAACCAGAAAACAGACTCTTAACTACAGAGATGATTACCAGAGAGGTAGGCAGAGGAATGGGTTAGAGGGGTGATGGCCATTAAGGAGGTCACTTGGGATGAGCATTGGTATTGTATGTAAGTAATGAATCACTAAATTCTACACTTGAAACTAATATTACACGGTATGTCAACTAACTAGAATGTAAATAAAAACTTAAAAAAATAAAAATAAAAACCAAAACAAATTAACAAACCAAACTCATAGATGTAGAGAACAGATTGGTAGCTGCCAGAGAGAAGAGGAGTAGGCAGGTAAAATAGAAGGGGTACAAACTTTTATTCATAAAATAAGTCATAAAAAAAGAAAAAGAAAAAGAAAAAAATAAAAATAAAATAAGTCATATAGAGCATGGTGACTGTAGTCAATAATATTGTATGTTACATATATATGGTGACAGGGAAATAAGGCTTATTATAATAATGATTTCACAGGGTATACGAATGTCAAATCATATTTTACAACTGACATAATGTTATATTCAATTATACCTCAAAAAATAAGTAACTAAAAATTTTTTAAAGCCAAAACATAGCAGAAAAAAATCTTGCATATGGATATTTATAGCATTACTCATATTTGCCAAAACTTGCAAACAACCAAGATGCCCATTTTTAAAACGATTTTATTTATTTACTTACTTATTTGAGAGAGAGCGTACAAGCTGGGGGAGGGGCAGCGGGAGAGGGAGGAGCAGACTCCCCCATGTAAGGCTCAATCTCAGGACCGTGAGCCCCAGACGCCCTTCCAAGATGTTCTCCTGAAGGTAAATGGATAAATAAACTGTGGTACATCCAGGCGATAGAATATTATACAGCACGAGAAAGCAGTAAGCTGCTTTCTATCAAGCCAGGAAAAGACAAGGAGGAACCTTAAAAGTATATTATTAAGTGAAAGAAGCCAGTGTGAAAAGGCTACATTCTGTAGGATCCCAACGATCATATCCCAACGATATGAGATTCTGGAAAAGGCAAAATTACAGACAGTAAAAATGGTTGACAGGGGTTTAAGGAGATGGGGAACAGGGATAAATAGATGGAGCACAGGGCACTTTTAGGTCAGCAAAACTATTTTGTATAATACTGTGATGATGGATGCATTATGTATTTGTCAAAACCAAACAACTACACAACATAAAAAGTAAACACTAAGATAAACTATGGCTCTTCACTAATAATAATGTACCAATATTGAGTCCACCAGTCGTAATAACTGTACAATAATAATAAATTTAATAATAAATGTTACCCTGGCTTCTGCAAACCACTCCACTGGTACAATAAGGCAAGATGTTAGTAAGAGGATAAACTGTGGAGGGGATCCCTGGGTGGCGCAGCGGTTTGGCGCCTGCCTTCGGCCCAGGGCATGATCCTGGAGTCCCGGGATCGAGTCCCACATCGGGCTCCCTACATGGAGCCTGCTTCTCCCTCTGCCTGTATCTCTGCCTCTCTCTCCCTCTCTGTGTCTCTCATGAATGAATAAATAATAAATCTTAAAAAAAAAAAGGATAAATTGTGGAGAGTGAGGAGGGGTATATGGGAACTCTACTTTCTGTTCAATTTTTCGATAAACCTAAAGCAGCTCTAAAAAATATATTAAAAAGAGGCAAACCAAGAGCAAGGAGATAGTATCTGTAGTACATACATCTGGCAAAGGATTAGTAAGTCCTTTAAATAGTTTGTATCGGGCTCCCTGGGTGGCGCAGCGGTTTGGCGCCTGCCTTTGGCCCAGGGCGCGATCCTGGAGACCCGGGATCGAATCCCACATCGGGCTCCCAGTGCATGGAGCCTGTTTCTCCCTCTGCCTGTGTCTCTGCCTCTCTCTCTCTCTCTCTCTCTGTGACTATCATAAAGAAATTAAAAATAAAAAAGTAGTTTGTATCTATTTATGAATAAATATATGTACATATTATTTATATTCATACATCATTTATATATTTTTACATATTTTTGTAGAATTTTATATTATATTTATAGAATATATAAGATATTCTACAATTCAATAAGAAAAAGACAACACAATAAAAAATACTTAAGCAAAAAAGGCAGAACTAGGCACTTCACAGAAAAGGAAACACAAATGACCAAAAAGCCCATGAAAAAAGATTCAATCTCATTACTAATCATCAAAACACAAATTAAAATACAATAAGATATTGTTACTCATCTATCAAACTGGCATATAAAAAGCCACACAACATCAAGGGATAAAAAGGATGGAGAACAGCTTGAACTCACACATACTGCTCTGGTGGCAAAGTACTTTGATACCAATGTTTTAGAAAACAGTTTGGCATTATCTGGTAACGTTAAGCATTGACATACCCTGATGCCCAGCACTTTCCCTCTGAAGTGTCTACTCTATGCACCAGCAGATGTGCACAGCATTCATGGAAGCACCATTTTTGATAGCAAAACCAAGGAAAAAAACCACATGCCATGACCTGTAAAACTGATAAGAAGTGTGATATGCCCATATAATTGAATGCAGCAGTGAAACTGATTTATAAACCGGTTCCTATGAACAAAAGTGATTGACATGCACAGCATCTAAAGGACATAGGCACTAAGCGATTGTCCAAATGGAGGCCTGATCAATCCAAGTGAAAGCGAGATGCTGACCCAGTGCATGCTAGATTGGTGGTGAGCATAAAAGATGCCGGGACACCTGCACCCCGATGTTTCTAGCAGCAATGTCCACAATAGCCAAACTGTGGAAGGAGCCTTGGTGTCCATCGAAAGATGAATGGATAAAGAAGATGTGGTCTATGTATACAATGGAATATTACTCAGCCATTAGAAACGACAAATACCCACCATTTGCTTTGACGTGGATGGAACTGGAGGGTATTATGCTGAATGAAGTAAGTCAGTCAGAGAAGGACAAACATTCTATGGTCTCATTCATTTGGGGAATATAAAAAATAGTGAAAGGGAATAAAGGGGAAAGGAGAAAAAAATAAGTGGGAAATATCAGAAAGGGAGACAGAACATGAGAGACTCCTAACTCTAGGAAACGAACAAGGGGTGGTGGAAAGGGAGGTGGGAGAGGGGTGGGGATGACTGGGTGACGGGCACTGAGGAGGGCACTTGGCGGGATGAGCACTGGGTGTTATGCTATATTTTGGAAAATTGAACTCCAATAAAAAATTTTAAAAAAAGATGCTTGCAAAAGATTCCATATATATAAAAACCAAAAATATGCAAAATTAAACAATACATAGTTTAGAAGGGTTAAAAACATGTTAAGAAAGCAATGGAATAACATGTAAAAGTCAAGAGAGTGGTAATCTCAGAGGGGTCGATGAGTGGGATGAGATAAGATAGGGAGAGACAAACAGGGGACTTCTTTCTTAAACTATGTGTTGCATACACACAAGAGGGTTTGTTGAATTATTCTTTTTTTTAAAGATTTTATTTATTTATTTATTTATTTATTTATTTATTTATTTATTTAAATCTCAGTTTTCCCATATGTAAAACGAGGGTAATAATTGTACTACCCTCTAAAGTTTATATGAGAGTCATCCAAGCACTCAATAGATATGAGCTCAAGCAGGTAAAAAAAATATATATATATAAGTTGCAAAACACATGATGACTTTTCTAAGTCATCACCAAGACCATCCTGTTTGCATATTTTAAATTTGAACAGAATGTTGTCTTTATTATTCTGATTTGCTATAGATTTACTCTCTCAAATATTTTATGTTGTTTTGCTTTGTCAAAAGAAATGTCTTAGGGATTAAAAAATTGTTGCACCTTTGAATCACAAAATAATGGTTTTTGTTGTATATGGTAATGGCAGGGGGAAGGCTGGGGGCAGTGGACTTAGCCTTAGGTTTCATTTTTATTTTGTTATAACTGTGAGGAGGAGAATGCTAAGGTTAAATCAGGAACACTGCTTGGAGGAGTTGATGTAAAAGTCATAATTTTAAGGAGGTGATATGTGATCTACAGGGAAAAGACTTTTTAATCTGGCTTTGGAAAAGCCACTGAACTCTGGCTTTTCCAATCAGTGACACAAGCAGGATTCAAAGTCAAACTTGAATACCCTGGGCTCAAGTTTGCCACAGAATTTTCAGAGCAAAGATCCAAATAATACCATCTTTTGAGTCATGTATGAATTTCAAACTGAGGACATTAGATGAAAATGACTCCTGATTTCGAAGTAATCTTGTAGATGGTGATCACAAAGTCACCACACCACAAAATTACCTTATACTGTAGTATTTCACTAGTTTTTGAGGCTGGATAAAAAGACACCATGTCTGTGCTGGGAAACACACACACACACACACACACACACACCTTTTCTGGAAATGTTTGGAACCATTCTGGAACACCTCCAGTGTGGTTCCAGAAATACAGAGCACAGTACAAGATGCTGTAGAAGAGAAACTAGTACAGGGCCTCCTCAAACACAAGCCACCTGTTCAATGAAGGCCTTGTAGTTCTGGAGTTCATGAAACCACACTCTGGCCCTGCAGCCAATTTCCCTCCAAGCCTGCCCAGACCTGGCTCTGTCACCTACTTGGTCCATCCACACCTCCGGAACTTCCCCTTATTCTGTCATCAAAGGTGCTTGGAGAACAGTGATTGGCGCTGGGTCCCAGGTCCCCAAGTCTTCATGACGATACCTCTCTACCCCAAATGAAAGTCAAGGATCTTTACCTTTCCAGGGCTGAGATTCTGTTTCTTTTTTGCTTTCAAACTTGGGAAGGATGTCAAACTGCATTTCCTTGGCTTTTTAGCATCCATTTTAGTCCTGCAGGAGGAAGAGTAAAAAGTACACTGGCAGGAGGAGCAAAATATAAGGAATGGTCCCCACACCCAGGCTTGGAAAGAATGTAGGGAAGGCTTGGAGATAAAAAGTGGCAAGCCTAAAAACACCGGCTGAGTGTCTGCTGTTCCTTTTTCTCCACCCTCAACCACCTTCAGGTGGCTGATGATGTCAGGAGAGAGGGCCTCTTAGCATCAGTCTCTGGGTACTCAGGACAGAGGGAGACAGCAGCCAAGGAAGATGAGCTAATGAGGTGGCCAGCAGTTTAGGACTCCAAGCAAAAAGACTTATTTCCTCTAGCTCCCTGTTAAGTGAACCATTCTCTTACCACAACCACCTTCTACTCTCGGTAGCTTAATGCCTATAGAGAAAAAAAAAAAAAAAAGGAAGGAGGGCATTGTGATGTGATGTGATAAGTACTGGGTGTTATATGCAACCAATGAATTATTGAACACTACATCTGAAGCTAATGATGTACAATATATTGGCTAATTGAATTTAAATGAAAAGAAAAAGAAAAAGGGACAATGGGTAGAAATGCTTTGCCTGGATCTCATTTAGCTATTTTTATACCTTCTTTATTCAGAACAGAGCTGTATGAATAATGAACTTGCTGTAAGATGAAAAACTAATTCACATTAAGTTTATGGAATCTAGTTAAAGCAGTGATTTATGTAGGTGGAAGAGTCTTAGGGGCACTCATGCCACTATTATACACCTGTTCCATTAACAGACAGCTGCTGGAACCCTGCTTTGTGTCCCTTGGAAATTCCTTTTCAGCCTCTAACTCTAGCAAGAGCCAAGGGAATCAAGAATATATGAATAAGGACAGAACAGGGATCAGTGCAAATGCTATCCTGGCTTCTGCAAACCACTGCATTGGTAGATTCTTGCAGACACTGTAATAAATGGTGACAGCATCACAATTTTGAAATTATTCAGAGGACTCAAGACCAGTCCCGCCCACTGTTATTGCAGCATAATGTTGAAAAATCAGAAATTACTTGTCTATATATGAGAAGTTAAAAATATGGCACATATGTATTATAGAATACGAAGCATCACTTAAAAAAAACGAAGTAAATCTCTATGTATGCCTGTAATCTATTGAATAAAAACAGAACAGTATGCATGATTCTATCTTTATTTAAGAAAAAAACAAGATGTTTGCATGTCTTAATCAGGTATATTGAAGAATATAGAAAAAATAAACTAAAAATAATTACCTTTGAGGGGTGGAACTGGGGGAGGTGATAGGAACATGAATTTTAACACACAATATGAAAAAATCTTATGCAGGAGCAAACAAAAATAGTTGCTTCTCTTCAAATAATCATAGTCACTTTTTTACTTCCCTTTCTTCCTTCCTTTCTACAAACATTTGCTGAGATAATGCCGCTGATTAACTAAACACAGCCTCCACCCTCAAGGAGAGTTCATTATCTGAGGGCAGACATGTGGAAATAGGTCATTACAATGCACATGGTAAGGGCAGTAACAGAGTCCATTAGCGAAGAGCTAATGGAGCGCACTTCAAGGGGTGACTAAACTCTGTTGGAAAAGCTGAGGAAGACTTCACACTTGAGCAGAGTAGCACCGTCCTTGAAGAATAAACAGGACAGGCATGGAGTCAAGAGCAGATGGGTGAGGCTCTGCAATCACAATAGTATGAAAGAGCACCGTCTTCTTCAGAAAGTGTGAGTACCCAGACATTGCCAGTGGCAGAGAGGTGGTTAGACCATAAAGGAAGGGTTGCATGGCCTGTTCTATGCCTGACAAAATCAGATCGGTACATTACGGACATCTCTCTGGCAAAACCATAGAACAAGGTTTGGAGGAGCTCAGGTAGGAAGCTGTCTTGAGCATCTAGGCATTGATCATGGGGGCCTCAACCAAGGCCATGATGGTGAGGACACGGTGGACGTGGGAACTTGGGAATAATTTGGGATACAGAACCAGTAGAATTTTGGTCATCGATTTGCCGTGGGGGCTGCAAAATCCAAACACAGGGGAAGAATGAGTACAATTGTTCCTGCCAAGGCTCTGTATCAAATGCTCCCTCCATCTACACCCCAGGGATGGGGGAGACGATACAAGCCCACATGCATCTTTCCCGGCAAGTGGAGCTCTTTCCTCTATTCGGCTTCCGGTGCTCTGTAGGTGAAGAGGACATAGAGACCTGAAGAATATGCTGAGGCATCTTGGAATCTAGTCTCAATGCTGCCCCCAGAGAGATCCTGAGCAAGTGATATGTCTTATCCTTATACTGAGTTTCTCCACTTGTAAGATGACAGGACTGGACTAGATGACCACTGATGTCCTTTCCAGTTCTAAGCTCTTTGATTCCAGCTTTATTAAGTACCACCAGATTGTAAAAGTTTTATATCTTGTTTATAACTGCCACATGAAGGGTTAAAGATAAGAAACTCATCTCAGAGCTAGAGTGAATACTGCTTTGAGAACTGACATTAAAATATAAAAGTGCCTCCTATTATTTTACACAAAGGTCAGTTTCCCTACCTCTCCAGCCTATACCCATTTCCTCCCTCCAGATTTCAGTACTTTTGTGTGTGGAGATCATTCTGTCACTAGGTCAACAACCTGAGTGTTAATTATTTTAGGGCCACACATTTCATCTCATCTTGATTGTGAATCTCTTGGAGGCAGGAATGATGAGCTTGGATTTTATGTTATTTTATTTCTTACATTCCTCTAGGGACAAGGACAATGACTTGTTTACTGAAAGCTCTTAGTTCAAATGTGCTAAAGAAAGACAAATCTAAGATAGTTTAGATGAATTCATCAAAAAACTCGAGACCACGCTCTCAAGCAACAAATAGTGACAGATAGTGTCCTAAGCATGAGGGACTGGGCAATAAATAGAATAGAATCCTTGCTTTCAAGGAGTTCCAGGTTTGGTGGGCATGACAGACTCCTAAACAGTGGTGCCAGCGTCACTACATCCAGAGAATTTTACACATACTGCATTATCTATGTACACCAATCTTCAATGCCCAGAAAGGAATACATATTGTCTGAGATTTACCTGTTATGATTTCAGGATTTCTTTGACAGTTGTCAATTAGCTTGATCTTTATGCCTTGGAGAGCTACGTTTGGGGCAGAAATTGTGGCAGTATAGGACTTGCAGGGACTCTCTTGGCATTTCTGTGAACAGGACATAATGTACTTAATGTATTTAAGTTACTCTCACTGCTGCAAAGAGAATTCCTCGGCCCCTCTGCAATTATCATTGAAACTCCTCCATGGTCTGTGGACTCTCATAGCTGAAAGAAGTTTTAGGGGTTATTCGTCCATCTTCCCACCCCGGCAGAAATCCTCAGAGTATCCCTGGCAATCACTCAGTGTCTGCCCTAATATTTCTGTGACGGAGCTCACTGTTTTTCCAGGCAACCCGTTTCACATCAGGCTGTTTATACATATGGGTGGTGCTCAGCAAATGCTGGTGGGAAGAAGTGACATTGAGCAACACATCCTCCACCAGCACTTGTTATCCTCTGCAGAACAACAAAGAACACATCAATGTTCGCTTCTACTCAAGAGTTCCTGAATATTCAATCCAGTGCCTTTTTGCCTTCCTGGCTTCTACTCATCTCCCGGCATTGTGTAGTTTTATTTCAAGTATGTCTTCATACAATAGAGCATCCAAGCATGACAGAGAGAACCGGTATGGTCATTGTCTCTCTCTACTTTCTAGTTTTTATTACCTTATTTTGAGTGGCTACACTTTATTCTAGAGTCTAGATATTAATCAATGCTAAATCAGGCAGCAAGGTCTTTACATCACTCACCTGGTCGCTGTATTTCTATTAATGATGCCTAGATCAGTATTTGCCCTTTTTAGCTGTTACAACACACTCACATTGGATTTCGGATCAGCTAAGACCACGGACTCCCAGCACTGGGTCCTCCGCAAGTTTGGGAAGGATGTATTCCTAGCCAAGTTCCTGACAACAGTACAGAGCTGGAGAAGGCAAAGTCAAAGAGTGGCTGGCACACCACTAGAGACTCTCTTTCAAGGTTATCATTACCCTCCTGATAAGAAGTAAAACAGAGAAGAAAAAAATAACAAATAGAAGTCCCAGAGCCAATCAGGCACAGTCCAGGTTTGGAGAATTCCTTAGAACTCCTAGATTTCAGGAGGCCTGGGTGACACAGTGGTTGAGCGGCTGCCTTCAGCTCAGGTCAGTAGTGATCCCGGGATCCTGGGATCCAGCTCCTCTATAAATGGCCTTGCACTTTTGCCACATCTCCATTTAAGCCTGAACGGTGAAGCTTGAATTAGGGATCATTGACTATCAGTCATTTAAAACAGACCAGAGGGGTCACAGGTTTCTTAAGCCCTGAACTGGCTGATGCATATTTCAAACATAGAAAGTACCACAAATCAACTACAGATTTTTTTTTAAATCCAAATTTTGCATTGTTCATCCCCTTTTTAAGGTAAATGCTTGCCAATATGAGCATTACCCTAGAGTGACAAGTACCACCCAGAGGAAAGTGATGCCCTGGGTGGTCCACACAGCTTAAAGCTGTCCTGCGTTGGGCTCCGGTGGAGCATAGAGGTCGCAGGTCCATGGGCTGGGCCGGCATAGGCCGGTATCAGCCCCATCCTAGGACGTCCACGCGAGGCTCGGGGCTGCGGGCTCACTTTGACCTCGGGGGGGGGGGCAGCCACGCCCTGGAGATAAAGGGGAGGAAAGCTTGGTGTCCCGCGTTATCGGGGCCAAGGCTGGGAGCAGCTTCAGGCGCGGTCTTAGAGATCCGTAAAGTCCGCCTCTCCCACCCGGCACTCAGCCCGGCAGAGGCCCATTCCGCCGGGGGTGCACCCACAGGGAGGCCGGGCGCGCAGACGCCGCGGCTCAGGGCGCTCTCCGGCCTGCGCGCGCTCGCGTCCGCCCCCCTCCCCGCCCACGCCCTCCTGCTACTGGGCGTTCTCTGCACCTCCCCTCGCCACGCTTCTCCCACCTTCTTCCCGCGCGGCCCGGGACGCGTCCGCCCCGCCCGCGCTCGCGCGGCCCTCCTGGGTTCGGGCGCCGGCGGCTGGAGGAGCCGCACCGGGCCCTCGCCCGCCGACGACCACGCCCCCTCCCGTCGCCATGGAAACTCTGGCCGTCCTTTTTGTGACTCGGACCAGGAAAAGACCCAAACCACCTTTCACGGGTCGGCCGGAAGGACACCTCTCTTCCCCCCGCCCCCATTCCCATTGTCTCGCCCCAGAAGAGTTGAAGGACGTTCCAAGGACGAGGAAATTTGAGTTCTCCGAATTGCCCAGGCTCCCGAAATTATCCCTACTTTCTCCCTCTTGAGAAGTCTCTGGTTCCCCGGAAGCGCATAGCAAAAGCTCCGGATATAATGTATTAATCAGATGAGCACTTTTTGAGCACTGACTGCATCAGGTTTTAAATGCATGAAAACTAAGAAAAGTTCTAGTTGAATGACAGTAGCCTGACCTGGAGAAATATAGTCCGGTCTATGGAGGAAACAGACGTTCAAAAAAAGATTTTAGAAAGATCGGGGTTGAGTTGGCGTCTGCAAGGCCAAATATAAATTAGCAATGTAAAGGCCCAGAGCCGGGGGACCACATGGTATCACGGGTGTGGGCACTGTTTGGCGTGGCAAGGGTTAAAAGTGTATATAGGCAGCATGAGGCCAGGTTGACGAAGCAGAGTGGGGACAGCCAGAATTTGAAATATCTTGTGAACTATACAAGTTAGGGTCTGTTATGTGGATTTTATGCAGAGGAGTGTTCATGCTCAGATTTTAGAAAAACTTTCTGGCAATATGGTATAAAGGGTAGGCTACAGTAGGTTAAGAATCAAGGCAAGGATGCCTGTTAGTAATAAGTGATGTTTCAGAGTAAGGGACAGCAAGTAGAACAGCTCTGAGCAATTTATAAAATGGAACAGTTCAGTGACCAGATGTGGAGGATAGAAGTGCCCAGACCCTCCAGTTGATGGTGGTGCCATGTACTAAGAAAATATGGGATGGGAAACAGAGGTTAGGGAAGATGCTACTGATTTACTGATGACTTACTGCCATCAGATTATCAATAGACCAGGCTCTTGTGTAGAGCAAGATCTGAGCTAAAAGTTCTGACTTGGCAGTCATTGTCATATAGGTGACCAATGGAGCTTGAAGTCACCTAAGCTTAAAAAGGGAGCGGGGGGGGGGGGGGACAAGGGAAAAGAATAGAATCACACTGATGGGGCACTATGGTGGAAAGAGTAGATGTAGGTGACACAAAAGATTATAAAGCTGCAAAATAATGAAGAACACGCAGGGATGTGGAGTGAAAATTACAAAAGAATAGTGTCATGTGAACCCAGGAAATAAAATGTATTAAGCAGGGTATGATGAATAGGGTCTATAGGATTAGGTGAGGAAAATGTACACTGGATTTAACAACAGAAAGGTCATAGTGCTTTCTGCAAGGCTAGTTTTAACATAATTTAAGGTAATTTTTAGTATAAGCTATTACCTTTAAGATTTTATGTATGTATGTATGTATTTATTTGAGAGAGAGAGAGGAGAGATAGCAAAAATGAGCAGGGGGAGGGGCAAAGGGAGAGGGAGAGAATCCTAAGCAGAAGCTCCGCTGGGCACAAGCCTGATGCAAGATCATGACCTGAGCTGAAATCAAGTTGGATGCTTAACCAACTGAGCCACCTAGGCACCCCCAAATTATTACTTTGAATAACATGGAGAAAACAGGTTCATCAGGCTGATGCCAGATGATTAATCAGTGATATCGGTACCTAATACAGGGTAGGCTCTTTATAAATGTTTACTGTTGAACTGCACCATAGAGGTCGCCTTAGTATCTTGTAACTGAATACATGTTCTAAGAAAGGGATGCGGTGGGGTAGGGAAGGTGGTATTGGACAGTATAAAAATATACACAAGAAAAAAAAAACATACAACAGCAATAACCAAATGCTCACTTTAATCATAATTCTAAATTTTTAATTTTCACATTAATATAGATGTTTCTGTAAAACAAGAAAAACTGAATATTATACACATTTTAATCGTTAACATGATTTTTCTTAAAGATTTTATTTATCCATTTGAGAAAGAGAGAGTGACCTTGATGAGCAGGGGAGGAACAGAGAGGGGAGGGAGAAGGAGGGGAAAGAATCTGGAGCCAACTCTGCTCAGCACAGAGCTCAATCCCACAACCCGGAGATCATGACCTGAGCCAAAACCAAGACACAGAGCTACCCAGGCACACCTAATGGTTAACATGATTTGAAGAGTTTTTATTAAAAAGTGATCATGAGCTAGTTGAAATTCTCATCATAAAATATAAAATATCTATAACTACTTTTATTCATAATAAATTCACATCTAAACTTCCTGAGAAGCTATGTTATCTAATATCATAATAGGGATGACTAAGTGCTTGAAAGCCACTCTCTAAAGCACTGGCTTAATATAAAGTGATTATTTTAAGAAACAGCTCGCCCCTTTATATTTACAACAAAAAGACTAACTTTTTTTGGCAAAATATTCATTTAATCATGAAATACAATCAGAGATAGATGGATGCAACAGTATCAAGGAAAAGAGCATACCAAGACTCTTCCATTTTATTGAAGGTTTTTTGACAATGACAGCTTCATAAAATGTCATGAAATTCTATTTGCTATACAATAAATATCTACTCCTGAGTAGAAGACATATGCCATATTTTAGCAACCATTTTAACACGTAAAACAATTCTGAATTCTTACTATAAAAAGACTTGGCTAAAATATGAAATATCTTTGCAATAAAACTGACAATATAACCTAAGTAAGATTTCAGAAATGTCTCTTGGAAAAAATGGGAATGTTTCCTTCTGCCAGATAAACTCTGAACAGTGAAAGTTAAGGTGCCATAAATTAGACAAAGCTAGAAAGCAATATCATGTTACTAGAAAACAAAACAAAGCTTGAAAACAACAGCATGCAATTTGGACTTCCTCCATGTCAAAGTGACAACCAGTTAACGACAGTGACTTATTGAACACAGGAAAAATAGAGTATGTTCTTCAAAAGGAAATGCCATTACAAGATAATTCTTATAAATAATCTTGAAGTCTTGAATAGCTTCAGAGAACATCACCACAAAATAGGTAGTGGCAATTCACAAGACATTCAAGGATTCCTTTATATTATGATACCCTCCTTAAATAGAAACACAAGTCAGATATCAACACACCTGTAAAACTGTGATTCTCTTACTCAAACATTTGTTTACTATCACACTCAGCTACTTAGCAGCATTTGGATGCAACGGTTTAACTCGTGCTAATCTGGACAAGCCAAGGCGGAGACTCTGATTTGGAGACTTAACAGACACCCCGGGCAGTGGGCTCTTGCTGCTGCTGCTGCTGCTGCTGCTGCTGCTGCTGCTGCTTCCAGATATCACTGAAAGAAAACATATCACCCAGTGCTGATGATGTTCAAAATCTCTTGACAGACATCAACTTATCAAACATAAGATGCAAAAATACCACATTACTGAGGCATACCAGTTCTACCAAGCTATAAACAAGATTAAAAGAATGAACAGTTTTAAAGAGCAGAAAGAGTACAGTACTGCCTATTTTCATACATGCTTGGAGGCAAGGTAATGACACCAAAACTTGAAGCACAAAAGCTGAAAGAGATAAGTTGGGAGCAAGTAACATAGGCTGTAAAGGCATAAAGAACTACATGCCATTATAATTCCTAAAGCAGCAAAAAAATCTAATGCATTTTTTGAAACTCCTGCAAGTTTTACATATATTCCTTGAATCTATTTTTTCAAATGTTAAATAACTAACGTCACAAATACTCTATTTATTTATACTAATTTGTTTAAGTGACATCATACAGTATTTGTCCTTCTCTGGGGGTGGGAGTGGATGGGTGACATAGATATGGGGGATATAGGGGTTAAGAATACAAACTTCTAGTTATGAAATAAGTTACGGAGATGAAAAGTCCAGCATAGGGAATAGCGTCAATAATATTGTAACAACATTGTATGGGGACAGATGGTGACTATGCTTATCATGGTGACCACTGAGTAGTGTATGGAATTTTTGAGGTAACAGATGTGCCTGATATTTCACAAGATGAAACGAAGTAATTAAGAGACATTAAGTAATCATGCAGTCTCAGACTGCAATCGTTTTTTAATGCTTTTTATTTAATGTTTCAAGTTTTTATTTAAATTCTAGTAAGTAACATAAAATGTAATATTAGTTTCAGGAGTAGAATCTAGTGATTCATCACTTACATACAACACCCAGTGCTCCTCACAAGTGCCCTCCTTAATGCCCATCACTCAGTTACCCCATCCTCCACCCACCTCTGTCCAGCAACCCTCAGTTTGTTCTCTACTGTTAAGAGTCTCTTATGGTTTGCCTTCCTCTCTTTTTTTCTTCCCCTATGTTCATCTGCTTTGTTTCTTAAATTTCACATATGGCTGAAATCATATGGTATTTGTCTTTCTCTGACTGACTTGTTTCACTTAGCATAACACCCTCTAGTTCCAACCAAATGGCAAGATTTCATTCTCTTGGATGCTTGAACAATCCACGTGGTCTATACTACATCTTCTTTATCCATTCATCAGCTGATGGACAGCTGGGCTCTCTCAGTAATTTAGCTATTGTTGATAGTGCTGCTACAAACATCAGGGTACAATACAAAAATCCTGACTCCGACTGAAATCTGTCTATTAATACATAGTTATCAGGGGGTCACCACTGTGGACCAATCAAGAAATGTCAGTGAAAAGAAGTGAACCAAACCTGAGTAGATCTGGAATGACTTAGAGAAGGAGAGGGGACAAATGAGGAAAGACTAGAGGAAACTGAAGACAGAGTCTCTGACAGAAGAAGACATACATTGTGTCTAAGGAAGAAAAACTGTATCAATTTCCCTGGACTAGAGGGTCCATGAGGTTGGGTGAGAAGTGGATACAGAACTAGTATGAAGCCACAGGCTGTTTGGGCATGAAATGAACAGGGCTAGGACTAGGATT